TCCAGGTAAGATCCAATGGGAGAGAGTTCCCAGGGCCTTCGGGGTATCCATGCTGCTTGGGAGATTGAGGGAGGGGGCATGAAATCAAAAAGAAAAAGGAAATATGTGTCAAATTGGATTTGGTGTTTTCCAGGTTTCTTGCCATAATGTAAGAACTGTCTCTGTGGGCTGGGAGGGTGCTGTGTGATTTAAAGGTGATCTTTCCCAGAACACCTGGCCTTTTCTTTTCTACCTCTGCCTCTGCCAAACATCACAGCCTTTGGGTTGGACTGGTCAGCACTCCTTGGGATTGTGCAGAAGAGGTTTGGGGTTGCATCAAGTGGCACCTGTGGCGAACAGAATCTGAGGGACACAACTCCCTCACAGGCACTTACTTGAACCTGGAGACACAGTTCTCCTGGTGTGTGCCCAGGGGTGCAGGAGAAATTCACGGTCATCCTCTGAACTTTTAGGACTTTAAAAAGCACTCACGTTTCCATCTTGCTGTTGACTCCTGGCTTAAAGGGAGCTCCTGGGGTGAGTGACGGAGGCGGGATCGGACCCTGGCAGTCTGACGGCAACACCTGTGTTCCTCTGCACTGGGCCTTGGACAACATTACACACCTTTGTGAGAATCAGGAATTATACACCTTTGTGAGAATCCGCATCTGGAATTGAGATGGGCCTTGAGTCATATAAATAAGTTGGAAAAGATGCATTTTATTACCCTGTTGAAAGAAACCATTTATTTCTCACTCCAGCAGGATAAATGGTTTTCAGTGTCTACTTAACTGCTCATTGACTCTTACTGTAGATGAGGAGGTGGCAAGCAGCCCCTGCCCTCCCCCAGTTGTAGGCCCAAGGTAACCAGCAATTGGCTGGATATAATGGAAGAGTGGTGCATTCGGAGGTATTTGTATTAATGGGACCCGCATGATATGGGTGACAGCTATTAGGGTGAGAAAAAACCTTGGAAGCACAATGATATGTTTAAATATTAAACAAAACATTGTTGAAATCTCCATGGTACTTTAGTAGTCGAAGTCATTCTTGTGGTCATCACTGCCTTTCCCAAACATAACAGGCTACTTAATGTCACACGGACCCATGCCATGAGGAATGAGGATCAGTTTGTAAAATGCCAATAAAGCCATTGCCCGTATAAGCCACAATATTTCATCCATAAATTTCAGTGTCCATGTGTAAATATAGTTCAAATGTCAGAATTTATTATTATCTAATAGAATATGCATGGTGTATCCATGAGCAATAACCATTATACTATTTCTATTAACAATTATTTGTATGATGAAAAACGCAGACTCCCATTCTTGGAGTTTTCTGAGTTTGCACACATTAGCATGACAGCCCCATGTTCACGTGACGTGTGCCAGCAGGAGGCCAGGAACAGAGGCTTTTCCTATTAGCTAAGATTTCTAAATGTATTACGTATTCATGGTTAGAAATTACTCTAAATATCATAAAAGGTTAGCAAGGAAGTTTCCCTTCCACTCTGAACTTCCAAACAGCAAGTCAACATTTTTGTTCACATACCATCCCTACAATCTACGTGCAAATAGAAACATGCGCCTGGAATGCATGCTGATGCGTGATCATGTTTATACAAAGTCTCTGCACCTCTGCATATACCACTGGGCAATGCACCTTAGTTATCATTCCACATTTCAACTGTAAATCCATTGTATTGTTTCAGAGCTATAAAGTACTGCACCCTATGACTATTCCCAAAATTACTTAAGCACCGCCCTCTGGGTATCCATTTGTTCTGTTTCCAGTCTTGCTCTTATGACCAATGCTGTAGTGAACAGCACTGTGTTGAGTGAAGTGGTGAACATGGCATCTTTGTCTTGTTCTAGTCCTCAGGGAGAATGCTTTCAACTTGCCCCATTCAGGATAATGTTGGCTGTGGGTTTGTCATAGATGGCTTTTATTACCTTAAGGTATGTCCTTTCTATGCTGATTTTGCTGAAGGGTTTTAATCATGAAGAAATGTGGCTTTTGTCAAATGCTTTTTCTGCATCTATTCAGATTATTATATGATTTTTGTTTTTAATTTTATTTATGTGATGTATCACATTGATTGACTTGCGTATGTTAAACCATCCCTGCATCCCTGGTATGAAACCCATTTGATCATGGTGGATTATGTTTTTGATATGTTGTTGGGTTCAGTTAGCTTGCATGTAGCATTTCTTATTATTCCATCTGTGGAATGTATTGGTTTAAGTAATGAAAACATGTTCTATCTTCACTGCTTAGCACTTTCTGTTTCTTTAACAGCCTTCCCAACAGGGCAGCATAAAAGCAGGAGCCCTGCTAGTCTCCCCTTAACCTGGAATCCCCCCTTCTCCACAGCTCATTGGACAGGATAGACTGGGCACCCAGGCCTCAGGGTAAGGACATGCTCCGTCACCTACAGGTGCAGTGCCTGGGAAGGCCAACCGTGGAGGGGCGCTGCCAGCTTTACAGTGATAGAGGTGTTCAGAGGGACTGACCACCAATTCATAAGGCTGTGCTTTGTTGGTGATATCAAGGATTGTTTCGCAGATTGTTGGGGAGGGACAATCCCAAGGCCTCACCTGGTCCTGGTCCTGGTCCTGGTTTGCACAAAGGCAATAAGAGAGGAATGGTCAGGGCTGACCTGTTGCTGTGCTGGGGAGGAAGGTGCTGGGCTGAAATTCAGGAGGCTGAGGATGTCCTGTTGCTGTGCTGGGGAGGAA